ATCACAGCTCATAGCAACCTCCAACTCTTAGGCTTAAGTGATTCTCTTGCCTCAGCCTCCCAAGTAGCTGGGACTACAGGCTCCTGCCACAACGCCCAGCTATTTTTCTGGTTGTAGTTGTCATTGTTGTTTGGCAGGCCTGGGCTGGATTCGAACCCGCCAGCTCTGGTGTATGTGGCTGGCACCCTAGCTGCTGAGCTATAAGCACTGAGCCAGCAAGATCTGGTTTGACCGCTCAATCAGATTCAAAATATTAGATTCTTTATCCCAACCCATTATCTACTTGGTCGGTTTCTTCTTCAAAATGTCTGTGAACTGTGCCTTAATTTCTGGTCTCCACTAGTCCAAGCCCTTACCAGTTTTTACTCCTTTTTATGTAGACTCCTGACTTTGATCTCTCCTAATCTGATCCAGTCTGTATTCCACTTCCATATGAATCTCCTGAGGCACTGCTTGGATCATATTGATCCCCAATTCAAATAGTTTATATAAAAATCGAACTGTTTAGCCCAGTATGTACAGCCCTCTGTAATCTGGCCATAATCTATCTTTTAGTCTTATCTATTACTATTTCAATTAATGAATCCTCTACTCTAACCAGAACTAGATGAAGGGGTATTTATTGTCCAGGTGCCAAACTATAGGGTATACTGAAAAAAATTACTAGAATAAATCTGAAATATGGTGCCAGATAACTATGGTTTCCACATTGATTCCTTAAGTTTAATAGGAATGTGAATTGGTCATTTATGCTCCCCCATCAAGCCAAATAGTGCTGTCGAGTGGGAAAATTTTTTCTGGCTAGCTCTGATATATTTCTGTTGAATATTTTTACAACATGTAAGCCACCAAAACCTGACACTAATGTGTGAAAAGATATTTAAAGTTGTCAGTTGTAGTCAGCTGAAATCCTAGAACAAAATAAGGCATTATATAAAGCTATTAACTGGATATTATCTGTTTAATTAATTATACTTTTAAAGTTACATTTATTAGTTTATTGAGGTGTGATTTATATACAGTGAAATTCGCCTTTTTTTAGGTGTACAGTACTGAATTTTGACAAATGTGGCAGTATAACCAAATAGAAAAATTAGTTTCTTCCAGCCTCCACTAGGTAGATGTTGAAAAAATATTTAGAGAAAATCTGCTGGCTGGGTGTAGTGGTTCACACCTATACTCCTAGCACTCTGGGAGGCCAAGGCAGGTGGATTGTTTGAGCTCAGGAGTTTGAGACCAGCCTGAGCAAGAGTGAAATCCAGTCTCTACTAAAAATAGAAAAAAACTAGCTGGGCATAGTAGTGGGTGCCTGTGGTCCCAGCTACTTGGGAGGCTAAGGCAAGAGGATTGCTTGAGCCCAGGAGTCTGAGGTTGCTGTGAGCTATGACACACTCTACCCAGGGCAACAGAGTGAGACTCTGTCTCAAAAATAAAGAAAAAAAAACCTGTTTACAGGCCCTGCAAGTACCCACAGATCTTGGTCCAGTCCCAGGTGGTGTCTGTATATGGAATACTATAGGAAGTGTGGATTTGGGAGGACAGTGACTAGTTCGGTTTGGGGCATATTGGAATTGAGGGGCTTGTAGGCAGGCTGATATTAAAAACATCTAACAACTAATAGAACACAGGCAGAGATTTATCAGGACAGATGCCTGCTGGTCAGAACAGATGCCATCAATGAACAATT